CACAAGATGTGTCTTTTATCTTCAGTAAATCCATTCAGTAACATCCAGAACTATGCTAAACCAATCAGTGGACTAATCCAGTACCACACCCATGATCCAGTATCACAACCAAGATCCAGTCACTCCCAAAAGCCCTGCCTATGAGCCCATGAGGCTTGAGGGTATGTCTAGATATAAGGCATAACAATAACATACCCAGTAAGTAGCAAAACTGGCACTTGGATACAATTAATTTAATTACAGTGCTCTTCCTTTAGGCCTACCTGCAGCACTGTCTCACATTCTTCACAACAGTCTTTTGATTCATGAATATATTATGCTTTTCCACTGATTCAAATCACCTTTAATGATTTTTGGAAATGTTTTGTAATTTTATGAGTATGCATTCTATTTTCTTATTCAGTTTACATGTAGGTATTTTATATGTTAGACAATTAAGAAGAGATCTTTTGTATTAAACCCTTCCAAGTGGCTAGTATGGTGTAGGACTGCATAACTCTGTAATCATAAAACTCCCCTAGCCCCTACTGTGATTCAATGTGAGTAAATAGATAAAGATGCTTCCTAGTTCCAGGACACTAGATAAGATCCGTATCAGCCATAATTATCCAACTCTTTGTTCAGGACACCACTATCTATAGAACAATCTACAAAGCATCTGCTGACTATCAGTACAAATCAGGCTAATTAACATACAAATGTAAGACCACTAACCTTTGTTCCTTCTTCTGTAAATTTTGCCTGTTAACTTCCCTGCAAGCCCCTATAAAAAGAGCCTCAGACTCTGGACTGACGCCTCTCTAAGCTACTTTGCTTTGGGAGTGCCGTCTGGCCAGACTAAGGTCTGTTTCATTTTCCAACTTGTCCGGTGTGTTCCTTCCCGGGTGTTCTTCCTTCACGGGTGTTCTTCTCGCTGCAGTCAGCTCCTTGGAGCATTTGGTAAGGCCCTTGGTCTTACGTTCTGGAGGCACCGCTGGGATCCCCGGGTGTGCTCCACTTCAGCTCCTTGGAGCTTTGGTAAGGCCTTTGGTCTTACATTCTGGAGGCACGGCTTTGGAGCCTTTGGTAAGGACAGCGGTCTTATAACAGGACCCTTGCCACCTTGTCAGCACACAGTCCTTCTGGATTTCCTGCGGCGCCTTGGCTCCACAGCGGCACAGCGGGCGCGCCCATTCATTAACAGCTTTGTCTGACCCCGCCGCCCGGGCGGGCCTCCGCGTGGGGGCGTGGCCGGGGCGGGCTCTAAGTCTCATTTCTGTCTATATATTAATTCACCTTGTGCTGTCCTGTCTTGCAGGAGACTAGGACTTACTGCAGAGTTCTAGTAACGTCCCCTTTCCCTATTCCCTACAGCGAGGCAGGTGCAGCACCACTGAGCTAAATCCCCGGCCCCAGAATCTATCTTTTCTTCATTGGACAATTCTATGCCTGGAACACCTATGCAGCATAGGGCAGGGGAGTCATCTATCCCATGTGTTTGTGAGAAAAAATTATTTCTGACAATGTACACGATATTGGGAAAGAGAATTGGAAGATCAGTGGGTCCCAGATCTTTGCTACCTAAGGGTGATGGAAATCAAACTCTTAACCATGCCATCATCCTGCTTAGGTTTTCATTAAAGACCTTGGATGATCTGTACTCAGATGCCTTAAGCAAATAACAAAACAAAAACAAACAAAGCTACACTTAGTATGGATAATTTAGCATTAGAAAAATGGAGGAGGGTGAAAGATATAGGAAGGAGGCTTTGGCTTCAGATAAAAAACAGAATGGACACAAGTTAAAGTCAGCAATACAAACACTGCAATGCTTGAGTTGCTAGTGGAAAACAGATGAGGGAAGGATGGGACGGGGTTGAGGGAAGGAATAAAGGAGGGGGAGGAATGAAGGAGGGGTAGGAGCTGGAATGAGTTTAGAAAGGTCTGCTGCAAGGAAATCCTTGGTCAAACCAGCTGGATATAATGCTGTTCCTATCAATTCAAGGCCAAAAAAAGGACAGCATTATGATGTGGGTTCTTACTAGCTTGGTTCTTGAGTTTCCAGAATCCTTAGCATATGGAAGTGATCCCTGCCTACATGAAGAAACAGTAAGTAAACACCAGTTATCCATTCCCAGTCTGGAAGAGGTTTATATAGCAGGTTCTTTCCCTGGCATTGGTACCCTGCTAAAGGATCTGGCCCATAGTCTTTTTCCCTATGCTCCCTGACCATGCTTTGTACCTGTTTCATCTATGTCAGTATGGTCTTGGTGCCTTACTGTGTGTATGGTTGCCTTTGGTGTTTGGGGAATTGTTAGAGAAGTATGATCTCCCCTTGTCCATATGTGGTCTGGAACATCTATGGCATCTGGCTGATCACCCTCCCTATGATTATGGGAAGAGCACAGATGACTCTTAGCAGCAGGCTCCCTGAGGCCAACTTGCTCCACACCTGGATGCTGAGGGGATCTCAAATGTGAACCACATGGTTGCACCTCCATGGGCTGCTAAAGTCCTCCAGGTCACACACACCTTGAGAGTACTCTTATCTTTTCTATTTAGATTTTTACCTCCCAGAGTCTATCTGCTCTTATTATTATGTGTCTTAACTCCTGAGAAAGCCCCAGTGCTCCTGTATCTCCATGAGACATAGACTGTGTCAGTTTTGGTTACTACTATACTCCAGTGAGGGAATACAATAGCCATTCAATAAATATTTACTGACTGAATGAGATAATAACCTTCACACGGATACATTTACTATAGGCTGTGAGTAGTTACTGTAATGGGAAGGGCCCCTAATTGTTTGTGAATGCCTACTCCTGTGATGTTGACTAACATCTCAAGGTCAAAGATATAACCAATATTCTCTGAGCCAGCAAAGTCTCTTCTTTACCACACTATCCCAGGGATACAGGTAAGTCCCAGCTGCTGAGGGAAGAGGTAGAGGTTGAGGTTTTCACATAAGAAATATGGACACTTAAAGAGTTTAAAGCAGAGGTTATAAACTAGTGGCCCTTGGCCCAAACTGGGCATGCAGATAGGGTTTTACTCATACGGGACTTAAAAAAAATTTTGGTGGGGGAGGTACTGGGGATTGAACCCAGAGCTGTTGCACTGAGCTACATCCCCAACTCTTTTTTATTTTTTTGAGATAGCGTCTTGCTAAGTTGTTAAATTGCTCAGGCTGGGCTTGAACTTGTGATCATCCTGACTCATTGTCTCAGAGTGCTAGGATTACTGGCAGGCACTAGCATGCTTGGGTTTTTTTTTTTTGTTATTGTTTTGAGATGGGGGTCTTGCTATTACATAATCCAGGTTAGCCATGAACTTGCTATGTAGCCCAGACTGGCTGTGAACTTATGATCCTCCTGCCTCAGTCTCCCAAGTGGCAGGATTATAGATGTGCATCACCATGTCTGGCTCAAAAATTTAAAAAATTTGGTTGCACATTTAAAAATCGGAGAAATTTAGGATGGGGATATAGTTCAATGATAGAGTGCCTACCTAGATTCCCTAGCAAGTCAGGTCTTAAGCTTGAGCCCCAGCACTGACAAAAGAAATCAGAGAATTTCCTATATAAATCTGGCTCTCAATAGTGTTTTTTTTTTTTTTTTTTTGGTACTGGGGATCGAACTTGGGACCTTGCACTTGCGAGGCAGGCACCGGAACCACTGAGCTAAATCCCTGGCCCTCTCAATAGTGTTTTGAAAAACTGAAATATATGGTAACAACAGTCTAGAGTTTGCTAGGAGTGGCGTGCACTCTTTAGCTGACCATCTCCCTTCCTGGCTCTCATTTAAATTTCTTGCCTGATAACAATAAAAACAAACAAACAAACAAACAAACTTTCTGCCTGGGGGTTGGGGATTTAGCTCAGTGGTGGAGTGCTTGCCTAGCAAGTGTGAAGGTCTGGGTTTGACTCTCAGCAACATTAACCATGCCAATTACTTAATTTATTTATTTATTTATTTATTTATTTTTGTGGTATCAGGGATCAAACTCTCGGGTCCTTGGGCTTGCACAGCAGGCAGTGAAACCACTGAGCTAAATCCCCGGCTCTCAGCAACATTTAGAACATTAAAGAAAAAATGTTCTGCATCACTTTTGTAGGCATCTGAGTTTGCAAACTCTCCTTTAGAAGACTTAAGGAGGAGAAGCAAAGAGTTGGCTAGACCCTGGAATCCCAGTGATCAAGCTCTGACCCAGCTTGGATGTAACCTGGGCCCTCTCACCTGATAAGTCAGTGACAGCAGGGTCTGCTAGTCGTCCATAGTGTGCCATGAGTTTGAGCTTGGTCTCCTGCTTCCTGTGTTTCTTGCCCACATAATGTTGTTGAGCCATAACGGGATCATTGAAAGTTGCATGGCAGAGGCTGCAGAACTTGTCTGGGTCTATCATCTCTCTGTTCTGGTGCAAGGCTAAGGTGGAGGACACAATGAAAGGATTTGTAAGGCATTTTGACAGAGCTGCACTGGGAGAGTACAAACAGAAACAATGAAAAAACTCAAAAGGTGCCAGGCTTTTGAGTACACTGAAGAAAAAGAAAGGCAGCGTCATTAGTTAATCACACCTGCAGATGTGGCACTGCCTGTGTGAATCACACGGTGAACAACTTCTCTAATTGGGAAGACGGGAAGAATTGGGGGAGCCCAAAGAGCAGCTAATTCTTTCAGCAGCTTTAACTACTCTAGGTACATAAGTCTTGATCTTCTTTTTTACTCTCAAGAGGTTGGGAAGTTCTGCCATCAAGTTGCCAAATTATAATATACTAGAGATGCATGCTTATAGTCTTTTCATCCCAGGACTTCCTGGAATTTCACAGCAAGTGGGATAAGAGGTCTGGGTATTTAATTCCTACCCTCAAAGCATTCCAATTACAGACCTAGGTAGTACCAATGCACTGACGTAGACATTGAGGTTCTGAGCTTATACAGGGCCAGGCACCCATACCAGCCATATCTTCTAGGCTGCATTACACTGTAGGCTGAGAAGAGGATAACATACATACAAACATTTATTTATTTTGGGGACAGAGTTTCACTATGTAGTTCAGGCTAGACTTGAACTCACTATATGGCCCAGGCTGGCCTTGAACTTGTGGTAATCCTCCTGCCTCAGCCTTCCCAGGGATACGATTACAGGCATGTGCCACCACGCCTGGCTAAGAGGATAACATTTAGTTACATAGTTTATAGACATATCTTTTTTCCTTACTACTCAGAGTACCCCAATGAGGGCTGTATCATTTTTCCATATTACAAAAAAAAACTGAGGCTCATACAGGTAAAATGACTTGTTCAAGATCACTTAGCTAGTGAGCGGACCCAGGTCAGTGTGACCCTAAAGCCCATAATCTCTTTGCCAAGCTGCCAGAATATGACAAGATCTGAAGGCTTCAGTTTTCACCCTGAGAGAACATCCCTGACTCTGCTCAATGTTCAGTTAATCAGAGCTTGGTGAGGGCATATGTGTGAGCCTCCTGTGGGTCTACATGGGTCCTGATGTTGACTGCACACTGTGCTGCCACATTAAAAGGTGAATGCCATGACTCAGTAAAAAGTCCATGTGGCTAGAATGGTGTTAATTTAGCAACCACTCTTAGAAAAATGTGGAACCCAGAATCCCCACCAGTAATGGAGGAGCAGTAGGGCTTAGCAACACTCACAGATAGATGATGACTCAGATGCCCTTTCATCCCTATACTATTTCAACTGGGATGTTTTGAGGATTTTTAGCAAGCCAGAAGAGTTTGCTAGTTTTTCCCACGACAGTCTTCCAATATAGGAAATCTCAATTTCTCTGGTTATTAATTGTATTTCAATATGTCACTGAAAAAGTAAAGTAAAAATAGAATATTTCATGAGAAAATATTCAGTGTGGTGTTGAATAAAAAAAGCAAGTTAAAAAACAATCTCTTTCTTATCTCAATTTTATAAAATAACAAAAACATATAGGTAACTGCATGGAAAAAAGATCAAAAGCATAGAGACTAAAGAGTGTTTTTCAGTATTTTCCAATTTTTCTACAATGAATATAGTTGCTTTGACATCAGAAAAGAGATATTAATGGTCACTGAGAGATAAAGATAAGGCTAGGGAATGTAGGTCAGTGGAAGAGTGCTTGCCCAGTAGGCACAAGGCCCTGGGTTCAATCCTAGCACCACAAAACAACAACAACAAAAAGACAGAAATCATTGAAAGACACCAAAGAGGAGGCTCAGAGGTGAATGGTTAAGAAAAGCTGGAAAAACTGCTTAATGGACATCCCAAACCAGTGAAAGCTATGGTGTCTTGGGAAATAACCTGAAATATGGAAAAAGAATTGCATAGGGATGTCTACTGTTGGTGTCATTTGTAACACCAAGAATGGGGAGGTGGGGTAAATGTTCATCATGAGAGCAATTACTAAATGTGGCATAATACAGTCACTTAAAATGCTTACAAAAAGTTTTTAGTAACAGAGGGAAACACAAATGTTATATTAAATGATAAAATAGAAAAAGAAATTACATGTACAATATGGTCATGTCACTGTTAGAAGATACCAGTACGAAATGTCACCCAAAAATTAACAGTGTTTCTCTTGGTGTTAGAATTTGGGTAATATTTTACTTTCTCCTTTGTAAAATCTGCATTGTTTGTTCTAGAATTATTCACAATGAGTGTGTGTCATTTTTTTTTTTTTGGTACTGGGGATCGAACTTGGGTCCTTGCACTTTTGAAGCAGGCGGTGGAACCACTAAGTTAAATCCCCAGCCCAAGTGTGTGTCATTTTTATAAAAAAGTTATTTCACCTTCTGTTTATAAGTGTATATACATAGAGCTCATCTACATACACATAAAACAAATATATACAAACAAATACACACGCATACACAACAAAAGATTATAGAGAAATAGTACTCCAAAATGTTAATGGTAGTTATCACGGAATGGTAAATTATTACAATTTTTTTACATTTATCTGTATTTTTTGTATTTCCTACAACATGTTTATATTACTTTTATATTAGAAAAATGTTTAATTTCAGGATTAGAGTTTTGGTTTTTTTTGGTACCGGGGATTGAACTCTGGTCCTTGTGCTTGTGCAGCAGGCAGAGAAACCACTAAGCTAAATCCCCAGCCCCCAGGATTAGAGTTATAAATGTGTAATAACATGGAAATATGTTTCAACTAAAAAGTTAAATGAAAAGTACAAGGATACAAATGATTCATGTACAATGATTACAACTACATAAAAACATATCTTCATCTGACAAAGGCTGAAAGTGAATATGGAAAATATCTTTAGTATGGAAGTTTTGGTTTGTTTGGTTTTTTTGTTTTGTTTTGTTTGTTTTTGGTACTGGGGATTGAACTCAGGACCTTGTGCTTGTAAGGCAGGCGCCGGATCCACTGAGCTAAATCCCCGGCCCAGTATGGAAGTTTTGGGATCAGGCATCCAGAGAATTTTCCCATTTGTGAAAAGATAGGTCTATGACCTAATTAAAGTTCAGTTCTTAAGCTAGTTTCCCTTGGCCTAATGTTTACACATTGTGGTACCATATTGGTATCAACATTAACTTTAGGCAAAAGCAGTCAGCATTCATAAAAGTTACTGATGAATCAACAACTGGCAAGGCCAACAGCATGCTGCAAGTGGTGGATGCCCAATCAGCTATGGCATTTTATGAGGGAATTCTACTCACTGGCTATCTTGTTTTTTTAGTGTGTGCGGGGGAAATGAACCCTGGGCCTTCTTAGTGAGCTACGATCTCCAGCCTTTTTGATTACTTTTTTTTTTGGTACCAGGGATCAAACTCAGGACCTTGTGCTTACCAGGCAGGTGCTGTGCTAAGTCACCAAACTGCCCAGAGTCTCTCAGAGTGCTGGGATTACCTGCATGTTCTGCCATGCCCAGCCTCACCAGCTATCTTAATGGTGAAAATAATAATAATAGTATAGGTTGTCATTTATGAATATCTATTATGTCCTACCTTTTCCATGTACATTATTTTATCCTCACAATCTATGAAGTAAACAGCATTAACATTTTACAGGTGAGGAGACTCAAACACAAAGAAGTCATACAAATGGTAAATAGCAGGGCCAGGATTCAAACCTGGGCTTGTGTATCTTCAAAGTCCATATTTTATTGTTAATATCATGAATAACGAGAAATGGACATGATAAGAGAGTGTAATTATGAATGATTTTTCCACCCTATCATCAAAGTTTTTCAAAACACTGTCGTCTTGTTTTTGTAATACAATAAAACAAAAAGGAAAATAAATACTATAAATAGTGTGGTCTACTTCTTGGTCCAAAGTAGAGGAGAAAAAATTACCAAGCAGAAAGTGAAATAAAGATCAAAGAACTCTGACTCTTAACTAATTACAGTTAGCAGAGGTTAAAAACCCCAGCAAGGCAGGAGTTAATGAGATGAAAGTGAGGGCAAAGACCCAGTGGTGACAAGATAAAGGAAGCTATTTTAGAAGTCACTGCACTGGGAATTAACCCATGGCAGGTGCAACAGCTTTGTGGGCGGTAGTGACAGCACTGAAGTATTCTGCTTTGGAAGGCAAGTCCCTGTCTTGAAGGAACAGGCAGCTTTTGAGGATTAAAGTGAGCAGGGCATAACTTGAGCACACGGAAAAGGACAAAGATTTAGCTTTTAACTTGGAACATATAGTAATGAAAGCAGGTGGATGGTAAGAGGGAAAAAAATCTAAGTGGGAGAGGTAGCGGATAGAACATTCTCACTGTGTGCATGGCCTGGAAGACTTTGGCACTTCTGAATTACAATTATTGGTCAGGACAAAAGCTTAGGCTAAGAAGCTTCTACTGAGAAAAACTGATAGAAGCAAAGAAAGGAAGGTTAGGTGAGCACTCTGGGGCTGCACTCCAATGAAGCAGATCTACTTTGATATTTTTAAGGGCTCTCAAAAGCAGTCCAACCTCTCCACGTCCATGGCCCCAATGAACATTTCTGGGAGCACCTGTCAACAGTGCCCAGAGGACAGGAGGGGTACCAACAAAGCACTACTCAGGAAAACCAGTACCTTCCACCTTAGTGGATTGCTGCTTCAGCTTTAAGTTCTTTGCGTGGGTCTTCCCCAGGTAATGCGACTGGGCCACAACAGGGGAGGAAAAGGTCATGTTACAGATGGGGCAGCACTGGTTCTTGTCTTTGCTTCTGTTGCTCTTCTGGTTGGGAGAAAGAACACAGGTCTGATCATACCACTACTCAGCCAGAAAATCTTCAATGGTTTCCCACTGCCCATAAGATACTGGGTATTTAAGATCCCCTTCACATATTAACTCCCAACCTACCTTTCTGGATTCTTCTCCAGCTACTTTGTCCCAGGCCCTACTCATCATTCCCCACTTTTTTTCTGTTGCTTCCATGTTTTGTTTGGGGTATTCTTACTGTCTAGAATGTTCTTCCTTCCTTTTCTGCCTCTTAGTATGTTTGCTTGGCCTTCAAGGCCCAGTTTAAATATTAGCTCTTCATCTGGGAGATTTTTACTCAAAAAAAAAAAAAACCATTTAGCAAACAATTATCAAGCCCCTTTGTGTATGCATTCTAGGAAGAATTAATTTTGCTTTTCCACTGTAATCCCAGAGCACTAAATAGACCTTTTCTATACTTCTGGCTAATACCCTAAACCAGAGGTGGCAAACCAATGGCATGTGTGCCACTTCAGGGTGTTTGTATCATCAAAAGCTCTAAAAGTTCACCGTCACTGCCCTAAACTGACAGTGTCATAGTTTAGGAGCCCTTTCTGAGAACTCAAGTACAACATTTGGGCATGGACTGTTGGACTCCTCTTTCTTTCCCAACCTTCTATGCTGCTGGAGTCTGGCATACAGTAGACACCCAGAAATCTTCAAACATCACTGGGTTTTATTTCTTGATTAAGGTTAGGACAGAAAATGTATTTCAAGCCTATGTTAAGATCTGCCAATTTTTCTGAGAAAAATTATATCTTAACAAGGTATTCATTCACCATTTCTCAACGTTGGTACTCTTGATGTTTTGGGCTCAGTAATTCTTTGTTGGCAGTGGGTGCTGTGATCTCATTTGAACTACTCAGTCACCCTATCAGAAGTTGAAGGAATTAAAGTACAAGGAGAGAAAGTGACTTGTGCAAGGTCACAGAGTTGATCTTGCCTTCCTGAATTCTAAATAATAAGAAAGGCAAACAGGGGATGAGTCAGTGAATTCCAAGAAGGACAATCAAGGTCTGTCCATCTAATCACTGGCTTCTATAATAGAAGGCAGTAAACCCTTAATTTATTGAACATCTACTAGGAACTGGAATTTTGCCTCACAGTATCTTGTGGTTTTTTTGTTTTTCTAAAACAGGGTCTTGCTACGTAGTTCAGGCTGACCTTGAACTCACTAGGTAGTCTAGGCTGGCCTCAAACTTACGGCAAGCCTTTTGCCTCAGCCTCCCAAATGCTGGGACTATGGGTGTGCGCCACCACACCCACCTCAGGGTATTTTAAGAGGTAGGAATTATCTCCACTTTATGAGTAAAGTGCAGAGAGGCTGAGTAACTTGCCTACTTAGTAAGTCACAGAGCCTGGTCTGCTGACTTCTTATTCCATGAAGTGCACAGCCTCTCACAGAACAAAAATTATGGTATGCCTGAGGGACTAGGGATTGTTTCAGTATAATCCTCATAGTAATTCTGAGTCAAAAAATAAATGCAATCATTTCTCAATCATTGCAGGCATTGGTTTAACTAATTTATCCAAAACATTCAAGTGCTGATCTCAGTTCTTTTCCATGGCTCTCAAGAAGGTATGCAGCCTGGCTTCCCTCTACTTTCTCTTGAGCAGCTTCTTGCCCTGATCCACCAAACCATTCGGTGGTAATATATAACAACAGTTCCATTTAGTGAGCCTCTACTATGTGGCAGGTTCTGTGTTGGGTGTTTTTTATAAAACTTTTCTTGTTTTAGTTAGAAAAAAATCCTGAGAGGATGCTATCCTTATTTTTATAGAGGAAGAATTAAAGCTCAGAGAAGTAGTAAGACGTGGCCAAAATACACAACAGGGCTGGGATTTGCAGCCAAGTTAGTGTGACTTTTTCACCGCACCAACCTGCTTGCTGGCTTCATCAGGAAGTGGGCGGTCTCAGCATGGCAGCTGTATTACCTGATCTGAGTCTAGCCTCTTCATTTCCCCCTTTAATGTCTCCATTCCATGGATTGCTAGGTATCTCTTCACTTTGTTGGCATGTTTTTTGCTCTGCAAGAACCCAGGAAAAAGATCAAAGATAGCCAAATGCCATTTCATTGAAGGCACTCAAAAACATTAGATTTTTATCCAATCTATCCTCTCAAAAGCTTCTGAGGAGAAGGTGGGGGAAGAAAGTTTATTGAGTTCCTACTTTGTGCAAGGCACTTTACATGCTATTAAATTTAATCTTCACAACAGTCTATGAATACATGAAGAAATTGAAGCTGAAAATGGTGAAGTTTCTTGCCCAAGATGAGTAGCAGAGTTGTGATTCAAATTTAGGTTAATTTAAAGCAATGCCTCATACTTTCTACTATGTCAAGCTGCAAAGAAAGACACACATAGAAGATTTCTGATTTGGAGAGGTGAGATGAGACTCAGGGAAATCAAATCAGTCTTCAAATACAAGCCAATACGCATGAAGGCAGTAAGTATCTAGTGGCAAAGAAAGAATTACCTCTCACCACGTAAGCCAGGGAGAAGTGAGGGCTTGGCACTAGGTTGGAAAAATAAAGCATTGCTAAAGTACAATAGCATACCTGGTAATGTGCCAGCTTCTGGGACTCAGAAATCAGCAAGGCACAGCAAACCTTACACTGGGTGTTGGTGAAGAGACACTGATTCTTCTGGATCATGTGCTCCACTACAGAGGGGGGAAAAGAAAAAAATCTGAGTTAACAAACAGTACCTCGACAGCACTGGCTTTGAACTCTGTCTCAAACACATGCACTGAGTAATGAAATGCATACCAGTACATACAAGATGTTACACCTGCATCTTCCTTTGTATCTATGACTCTGCTAAGCTCCAACCCCACCTGTACTATTACTTATTTTATAATTTTATGCATGCCAATTTTCTTTACTAACTCCTTTCAAAAAGGGACTTTTAGCTCAGTGATAGAATGCTTGCCTAGCATACACAAGGCCCTCGGTTCAATTCCCAGTACCACACACATACATATACACACACACACAGACACAAGAAAAGGATGGAGAATCTTTAGATCACAGACTTACATAGGTATTAATAAAAATAAATACAAGAAAAATGAAAAAATTCTATCTAGATATTAGTGCCAGAGGATTGGTGTGCTCCCTAAGAAGAAGAAGAAGAAGTCAGACATGGTGATGTGCACCAGGAGTCCCAGTTACTTGGGAGGCTGAGGTAAGAGGGTCCCTTGAGCCCAGGAATTCAACCTGGGCAACATACCAAAAAAAGGAAGAATAAGGGAGTAGCAACTGTGAAGAGTTTTTTGTTTGTTTTGAGACAGGGACTTGCTATGTAGTTTGGGCTGGCCATGAACTCACCACGTAGTCCAGGCTGACCTCAAACTCACAGTGACCCTCCTGCCTCACTCAGTCACTCAAGTGCTGGGATTATAGATGTATGTCACTACACCTGGCTAAAAAGAGGCTTTAACATATGGTAGTATCTAAAAAAAAAAAAAGGATATGGTAGTATCTAAGACTTCTTCCCAGGTAGAATCGAGACTAAAAGACTTGAAAAAAGAGCAGTTTTCTTATTCCTCCTTTTAAATTTAATTTTATTATTATTATTATTATTATTTTTTTATTTTTTTTTATTTTTGGTACTGGGGATTGAACTTGGGACCTTGAGCTTGAGAGGCAGGCGCCAGAACCACTGAACTAAATCCTGGGCCTGTATTATTATTTTTTAAAGGGCTGCTCAGGCTGGCTTTGAAGTCATGATCTTTCTGCCCAAGCAGCTGGGACTGCAGGCATGTACCACCATGTCTGACTTCTCAATGCTCTGGATCTGACTGAAACATCTAAAATTGCCTAATATGTTACACCACTTCCACACTGTAGGAAACACAGTATTAGTCTGTGCTTAATTGTTAGGCCTGGATAACAAAGCCTTGGCTGAGGTAGGAATAATCTCACTAAAGGTAAGAGCTTTGGGACCTTCCAAATTTTGAAGTTAGGCAGAGCAAGTAAAGTTGAATGTAAAACAAAGTGAGTAGAGGGGTAGGGATTCTGGCTATAAGGTAAAGAAATCTTCTCCCTGAAGCAACTATATAACTGGACAGAACAACCACTTCAGCACTCAGGCACTCAACAGAAGCAATTATGCTTACAAAACTGCTGAACTTTGTTAAGAATGAAGATCTGTAGTTTTCTTTTCTTTTTCTTTTTGGTACCGGGAATCAAACTCAGGACCTTGCGCTTGTGAGGCAGGCCACTGAGCTATATCCCCCGCCTGATCTGTGGTTTTCTTTCTTTTTTTTTTTTTTTTGGTACCAGGGATCGAACTCGGGACCTTGCGCTTGCGAGGCAGGCATCGATCTGTGGTTTTTTTATGCAAAGCTACTCTCAGTTCCTCTCATACTCAGTGCACAGAATCTACCAGGAAGGGACAGGTTGTGAGAACCACTATCTTCCTCATGGAGGAGGGATATTACTATTTGACTTTGGCAAGTAAGGCCCACATTCAGCCATACAGTTGTGAGAAGTGACGGTCTCAAAGGGAGGTAAGCAGGAAGACCCAAAGGTTCTACGAGTCTAACGTTGTAGTGTGGGACTGCATAACTCTGTAATCATAAAACTCCCCTAGCCCCAACTGTGATTGAATATGAGTAAATAGATAAAGATGCTTGTTAGCTCCGGGACACTAGCCATAAGGTCCCAAAGTAAATTACTCAACTCTTTGTTAGAAAACTGATGTTCCGGACACCGCTATCTATAGAACAATCTACAAACATCTGCTGACCATCAGTATGTGTCAGCTGACCACTAACCTTTGTACCTCTTCTGTAAATTTCACCTGTTAACTTCCCCTGCAACCCCCTATAAAAGAGCCTCGGACTCTGGGCTAGTCGCCTCTCTAAGCTACTTTGCTTTGGGAGTGCCGTCTGGCCAGACTAAGGTCTGTTTTACTTTCCACCTTGTCCGGTGTGTTCCTTCCCGGGTGTTCTTCGCTGGAGTCAGCTCCTCGGAGCGTTTGGTAAGGCCCTCGGTCTTACATTTTGGAGGCACCGCTGGGATCCCCGGGTGTCCTTCACTGCAGTCAGCTCCTCGGAGCGTTTGGTAAGGCCCTCGGTCTTACAGTAGTTATAGTTGAGGCAAGCATGTCCCTGGGTAAGACTGTGTAGCAAGGGAGATTCAAGAGGCTCAAAGTTAGCCAAATATTTCTGGCCTATCCTGCAGCTAATATACTTGAATGCAAAAGGACCGAGTGGGAAGTAAAAGCCAAAACAGACCTCAAAATTGCCTGAACTCTGACTATACTTCCCTATCAACTCACAAATTCAACAGTAGAATATAAAGGCCTTGTTGGGCATGGTGGGACATGCCTCTAATGACAGCACTTGGGAGGCTGAGGCAAAAAGGATTCAAAGTTCAAGGGCAGCCTGGGCTATACAGTGAGACCCTGTGTCTAAAAAAACAAAACAAAAAACCAATCAAGTCCTTGGCTCCAGGAGTTGTGAACAAGCACTGACAAATTACCGGCTGACCAGTAAGTAACACAGACACATGGAGAAAAATGATTACAAAAGAACCAAATGACAGTATTTGCTTTTGAAGTCTTCAGCCACCTTGTAAATAGTCTGACTACTTTGAGGCCACCAGGTTGTGAGAAACCCCAACTAATCCATGTATAAAGACCATACAGCAAGGCCCTGACACCACATGGCAAGAGACTATTGGCTTTCTTCCAGAAGCTCCCCCACCCACTGTTTTAGCTTTAGTCACCATTTGACTATAACTGCCTAAGAAACCTTGATCTAGAACTATCCAGTCAAGCCTTCCACAAATTTCTGACCTGAATAAACAGAGAGTTCTATGAAGCTGTGGGAAGCTAAAGGCAACAAAAGAAGAAAAAAGAACACAAGCATCAGAATTCTGAGAAAGTAGCCTGACTACATATAACTCTTGCTCTGATATCCCCATGCAACTCCAACCCAGCAAGCACATCAGAAAGGTTTGATACAGGCACTTAGGTACTTGAGAGGCAGCAGGAATGGTACTAGGTTGGGGCTCTCTAAAAACAAATGTAAAAATGTTTCAGTAGGCTAATAATGAATCTCTGAGACTTCCTTCTCAGCTTTGCTGGAAGCAAGCAACTTTCACCATTAACTTAACCTACCCCTCAACCTATGAAGCTAGTGAACAGACACTAGAATACTGATATTGGAAGATCTCATAGTTCCATGACCTTTCTTTTTCTTTATGTTTGAATTCACAGTCTTGTGCATGCTAGGCAAGCACTCTACCAGCCTTTTTTATTTTGAGACAAGGTCTTACTAAGTTGCTAAGGCTGGCCTCAAATTTACAATCCTTCTGCCTAAACCTCTCCAGTAGCTGGGATGACAGGCATGTGCCACTGTACCCAGGGCCATGACCTTTCTTGACAACAACAATAGCAAAGAGATATAGGAATATGGTCTTTACTATATGTCTGCCTTCCAAATCATATGAGAAGTTATGATTACCAGAATTTAATCTGTATTTACTATATAGCTAAACTACAAGGTATATGGGGTAAAGAAATAGAGATGAAATTGAGAGTATGAATCATAGAGCTGATTTTCACCAGGGTCAATGAAATGCAGACATAGAGAACTTGTATGGAACAGCAAGATAATTCATAAACCAGGAGATTGGGGTGTAGCTCAGGGGTAGACTGCACACTTAGAATACACAAGGCCTTAGTTTCAATCTCTAGCACTCCCACACAAAAGAGAGATAATTCATAAACTTAATAAATTTAGGGGAAGTTGTATCTGGAAAGCAAAATATCTCAAAATTATTACAATATTTTAATCCAAGTTATAACTGTCTTTGGGCAACTTTGGTATCTCAAGTTGTCTTAGTTTGATTTAGGTCCAGGATGACTGGTTCCAGAATGAATAAACCACCTCCTATATTCCAACTAATAGTACACACTGTTTGCTATTACTTGGCCCTAGATATGGCCTTAAAACTTAAAATTTTGCCAGTATGGTGGTGCATGCCTGTAATCCCAGAATTTGAGGATGAGGCAGGAAAACTGCCATCAAATTTGAGGCCAGCCTAGATTGCACAGTAAGTTCAAGGCCAGCTAGAACTACACAGTGAGACCCTGTCTCAAAAGATCCCAAACCAAAACCAAACAAAACATAAAAATCAACCCCCCTCCCAAAAAAACCCTTAAAATTTAAACTGAGTGTAGTGGTACAGGTTTGTAATCCTAGCCACTCTTCAGACTGAAGCATGAAGATTGCAATTTGAGGCCATCCTGGCTAACTCAGCAAGACCCTGCTGTCTCAAAATGAAAATAAAAAATGACTGGGGATATAGCTCTGTGGTAGCGTGCTTGCCTAGCATACTTGAAGCCCTGAGTTCAATCTCCCATTACATCTGTAATACAAAACAAAACAAAACAAAATAAAATCTATAATTAAGACAGGCACAGTTGTACACACCTTTAACTTCAGCTATGTGGGAAACTGAGACAGGAGGACTGAATTTGAGGCCACCCTTGCTATTATGGTGGGATCCTGTGTCAAAAAATGAAAACCTCTAATTTTTTATATATGGATACCAGGTGTTCTAGCGCCATTTGCTGAAAACATTAGCTCTTTCTCAGCTCTTGAATTGAGTTTATATTCTATAAAATGCTAATGTTAAATAATCTTTC